AAATCTATTACACACATATATATATATATATGTTTTATATATTTTTCTTTTCAGTTTAGTCCATTCTGTCCCTATGCGAAAGATTTATCATTATTTTCCAAACTCTGTGTATAAGCAACTCGACAGCCTATAAAAATCTATAGTAACGTAAATTATAGATTAATATTAGAACTACAATTAGTTCAAGGAATAATTATTTTGAAATAAAAATCTCAAAAAAGAAGCCGTGAATAATCAATATCAATAATGAAGGACTACATTAGCAAAATGCTATGCTATTGTTTAAATTTGCATAATTTAAAATATTTATACATCAAATAAAATGTTAAATAGCAAACAACACATTCAAATATACATATATTTATATAATAATACACTCAAATTTAAGAAAAATGAGGAAATAGATGTAATTAAATGCTAAATGTACCTCAGAAAATATTTGAAAGTAAAAATGCGTTTTAATAAAATATAATAAATACAGTTTAAAAGACGTTTTTTTTGTTTTAAACATGATTTTTTTCTAAAGCTGTTAAAAATTATTGAAGACTAATTTTCGTCAATTTTATATAACAATTAATTTCTTGTTAACTATTACGAAAATTGGTAGAGTACTTTTCTTTTCAGTTTAGTCCGTTCTGCCCCCATGTGAAAAATTTATCATTATTTTCCAAATATCCTGTATACATGAAGTTATATGTATACATGTGTATGTATATACATTTGTATACATGCATATATTCTGCAATACATTTTACTTTTTTGTTAATTTTATAACCAAACTATTGTTTTCTAAACAAAACTAACTTTTTAAGATCATTTTTATGGAAGGCCACATTATCATCCATGTTTCTCTTCGATTCATCATTATGCAAATGTAGTCACATTTTTAGTAGTGTCCTAAGTGATAAATATTTCGTAATTTTGAGTCCAGAATCGATTCAACAATTAATGAATGTAATTGTCAAGTTTTAAATTTAAATATTCATTATTAACCAAGTTATCATCATGTAAAATGTAACTAGAGTAACTAGAGTATCACTTTTTCCTCTACTAAATAGTTTATTAAAAACGCAATTTTAAAAATAATGTTTTAAACATTTGTTTTAACTGTTTAAAAAACTGTTTAAAAAAAAAACATGTTTAATTTAATCTGACTTAAATATTTGTTTTAAATATTTGTTTAAAAAAAAAAGTTTTAAACAAAACAATCCTGGAGGGAAGTCGGCGTAGTGGAGAAGATTGATTCGCTCGGCAATTCGTGTGTATTTGATTTCGTGTGTTAAAATTTACTAAATTGATATTTTCTCAGCAATAAATTGACGTGGAAACCTAATTTTTTAAATCTGAGATAACTCGACGAAATATAAACATAGCTTAACCAAACTATGTTTCGCAAAGTAATTGTAATCATGAAATTTTTAATTTTTTATTTCTTCAATTTTTATTTTTTCGGTTTACTAAAAAAAAAATTACATTTAAGTATGAAGTGCATGTCTGATTAACAAATTTAAGTCATATTAGCTATGTTTCTTTATTTAACATACCGTAAAAAGTGTCCAATTAAACAAAATTACGGAATTGAATTAAATGTACGGAATTATCAGTACAAAATTATTTTTATGAATTTAATTGCAGATACAAATATGACATATCATATGTAAATATGACAAATAATAAATAATTTGCCAAAAGTTAGTAGTGTAACTGTTGAATATAGTTGCAAAATATTTTTCATGTAACACTAATTTTAATACTTTTATATTTGCGAAAGTTAGTATTATATCTTTAACAGTTATTACGCTAACATTTGGCAAATTACTTATTAATTATTATCTGCAATTAAATTCGCAAAAACAATTTTGTACTGATAATTCCATACATTTAATTGTCTAATTGAATACTTTTTATAGCATATTAAATAAAGAAACATAGCTAATATGACTTAAATTTGTTAATCAGACATGCGTTCCATACTCAAACGTGATTTTTT